TATCCTCTGAGCGACCTTAATAACCCTGTGAAGCTCTTTTCTGTGAAGCTCTTTGAAGCTTTGTTTGAATATCTAAAATGTTTTACACTGCATAAGCTATATTGACAGAAAAGAAAATGCATTGTTGTAATGTACTGCAATGTACTGCCTGAGTACAATAGCCCATAGTGCAGAGTGTTTTATTGGCTCTGTCTTCTGGTACCTTGGGTAAAACCCTGGAAGTCTCCTTCTCAGGACACTTCACAGTCACTATCTATGAATCTTCCATAATCTGTCATCCATTACAGGGTGGTGCCAAGCATGGAGCCTATCACAGGCTACAGGAGCATTCTGGAAAGGATGCCGTTTTCTTTGTGGTGTGTTGCAGATCACGTACACGCTATTGGAAATGTATCATGCCCTGATGCGCCGTCTTTGGATTGCAGAGAAAAGCTGGAACACGGACACACACCGTGCAAACACAAGAGGGGCGTGCAACCTCCACATGTGCTGTGGAACTAGAGATGGGATTCAAACCCCTAACCACCGAGAGGTGAGCCTCGGTGTTACCCACAATGCCACTGTGCCATCACTAAAGTATTAGCATTCTGTGATGCTATCGAGAGGACAGCAGATGTTGCAGTGACCGGAGGTGAGGATGGCACATTTAATTAGACAGCCACCATATTGCAGTTAGTGAATGAGTCAGCCGTGGCCATGACACACTTAGCTGTAAGCCTGGACATGATTCTGATGGAATCCCAATTCTCTGATTCCACCTAAGCACATCGGAGGCTACAGATCAGCTGTCCTTGGGTTTGGAATGATGTCAGTGCTGCATCACATTAAATCATATTTTGCAGCATTTTATCAAAAGATTCTCTATATTAACAAAATGCTATTGTTATTGTGCTGACGGGTGATAACAGTGATGTGGGGTTATGGGCCGGCTTGCTAGGCTGCTCTTCTGATGGATACTTGGCAGGTGTCCCCTTATCTGTGCATTGTTTTCTTCCTGTTGTGCCTGCATTTCTGATTGGCTGGCAGTAGAATAGCCAGGAAGTGACACGGCCCAGCCACTGTCTGCTAGCATGGTGACTCGACCGGGTCATTTCATTTCCTCGTCGCTAACATTTTTGGCACCGGCTTGGCCGGGCAGGATGCCGAGAGCGTGATTACAGGCCCAAGCAGCCACAGGGCTGGACCTCTTACATCTGAGCATTTAAGCTATTAGCAATAATATATACAGCAGTGGCCAAAATTGTGGAAACACTTCCAATTTCTGGAGACTGCAAAACTTTATTCCTGTTACTCCAGTTACTTATAAAACCCCCCAGTGTATGATATTTGTAACATTCTTTGATTGTTTAGAAACACTACTGCCAATGTTCGTGTAGTAATTTTTAAACCGTAATGACAAAATGGCTAGGTGTTTCCACAGTTTTGACCACTAGCGTACGTACATACAGTAAGCAGAAATAATAACGGAATCATAATTATAATAATAATAATTAGATATATGGATAATACAAAATGTCACATTATGCTGAATGCCACTTAGCAGTACATGTGAGCTATCATTTTTATTATTATTATTATTATTATTATTATTTTGTCATTTAGCAGATGCTTTTATCTGAAGTGAGGTACAACTGAGAAAGCATTCTGGAGCAACTGGGGTTTGGGTTTTTGCTCAAGTGCCAGACGCTGAAATAACTGTGTGAACCTTGGCATCTGCACCTGCAACATTCTGGTCATGGACATAGAGCCACACACTGCCCCAATAAGAGCCTGACAATTTGCATCAGGGTCCTGCTCCGTTCGTGGTTTATCATATGAATCTTTTACCAAGATACCTGATACTAATTTGTAATGATTATTTTACTTGTGGGCCTTTTCCAAAATCTCCGTCCAGGTGATTGGTATTCCCACTGAATAGACCAACTACTGACCAGATGCTGCACGTGTTATTTCCTTGAGGAATGAACAGATTCCAAGAATAACGGTCAGCAGGAATATTAACGTTGTGGTTGTTCCTCTTCTTCGTACAACAGGAGGGCAGAACTTTCCAACAGGGTGAGATTTCCCAAAAAGTCCACATCTTTATAATGATACTGTTCTACCCCTGAGACCATTCAAAAGACTCAATACGCATAAGTGCGCCATTTGTGTTCATGTAAATCAATGTTTCTCATGTAAAGATGTGGTCTGGCAACAAAAAGCAAGCTGGAAATTTGCTGCTGACTGGGGGCTAGGCAGTATATTACGCTGATCGCAATCACCCACAAGATCGACTGACAGGTTGGGCCCCCTGCTACTGTATATCATGCTGGGGTTTGGGGAAACTTCCCGATGGCCAGTCTGTGCCTGCTCACATATAAGCTTTCCGTGTGCAATTTGCGTGATTTTAGCGAGTAGAAATATGGCCAAGAGATAAGGGTGAGAGGAAAATATGGATTTATGAGCAGAAGGTGCTCAAGAGCCTGCAGGCCACATTTGCTCAGTGGGGGTTGAGATCCAGCAGGTGACTGAGCCCAGTCTCATCAGAGCTGACTTGACAATTTCCCCCTGAGGTGAAAAACAGTATAAACCAAAATGGAGTCCAGGATCTCAGATTCATGTGCGTTCAGCAGCCTTACAAGTAAAACACCATCTCTTTTTCCCTCTACCCATATAACAAGATAAGTGTAAAACAGAAATATCCCACAACTGCTTGGAAAAGAAAAACGTTATCTCAAAGGTGTCCTTTAGAAGTTCCAGGAACATGGAAACATGACAACATCTGGATTATAATGATTTTTTTTCTTGAATGTTCTCCATGTGTTCCCATATATGCCTCGCTAGCGATGTCTTCCGTATTCTGTAAGGGACAATGGATATTTTCTAAATGGACAACCTTCTGAGCTGAAACTGCCCAAAATTGAAAATGAAATTGAAGTCGCACTGAGTTATTCATCTCACCCTAATATGGCATGACCTTTTTGCCGGTGTGCATAAAGTATGGTAAAAGGACACCATTTTCGTTTGGCTCAGGCTAACTGTTTAGTAAATATCGCCTTGAGAGCCTGTTCAATTTTCTAAGCAATTTAAATCATTCGTTGTTTGACAGTATACTGAGATGTATTGCTTTATACTGAAAAGCATTTCTGCATTCACATTCGAAAACCCCTATAACATATTTCTAAGAAAAGCATTGTACCATCCTGCACCTCGTAGAAATCCTCGAACCTGACAATTGGCATAGAATGAAAACGTGTTCTATGTCCTTAGGCCTAGGTGGTTAGGGGCCAACGGAGAAAATATCCAGCACCAAATATTTGTTGATAATATAATTATAAATTATATTCACTTTCTTACAGTAAATCTGTAAAATGGTGACCCTGGTCATTAAAAATTGGAAGAAAATTTATTGTAATACATAATATTCTATCCGCAGTTTGCATGCTCATTGAACTGTCTGTCACCAGTAATTTTACTGAATAATGTAGGAAATCCATCATCCTTGGTATTATTAATAAGCTCATTGTTTGTGCTGCTTCTGACTATGTTGGGAAATGAATTGCGTTTTGCATATAACTTCTGTTTGTTTTACAAATAAAAATTTTCATTTGCGTCGATTATATATGGGTTCAGGATCTGGTGGTGTACCCTTGAGAACAAAAGATACTGAACTGTAATTGTTTTGTAATACATTCTGCTCTATAAACAGATAAAACTGACAACTGTTGATGGACAAAGACGCATTCAACTTTGCAAAGTTGAGCTCCTCGATCTTTATTAGCAGATAAACAGACTTTCTCGGACTTGTTCTGATATTTTTTTTCCCACATTTGCCTCTGGAAAAACAAAAACAACAATTTTTACAAAGCGAGATGCTTGAAAATGACAAGTGGCTGACGGCTCCGTACCAGCTAATGGCTGGTTTTGCGGGGTAGGTTCGTTAGTAAAAACTGTACAGATCATTATCGCATCACTGACAGCAACAGTAAGTCATCCTATTTCATATCCCCGTTTGCTTCCAATATTAGTTATATAAGCAAGACAAACTACACAGTGTCTATCACGGATATATTATCGATTGAAAAAGCTTTTCACAAAGCTGAAGCTTTATAAATGTACAGTGGGGAGGGGAAGGAATTTGAGGACTGTTTCTGTAGCCATCACCACTTGTGTTAAGGAGTTGAGGCAAACACAAAGGAAATGTAGACTTAACGTTGTACTGTTTGATTGTCTGGAAGTCTAAAACAGAACAGGTCTAGTCACAAGACAAGGATTTATATAAAAATATACATTTTGAAACTAACTTTCAAAGCACTAAACATATTTCCACAGGCTACAAACTGTACAAATCTGCAAAAACATTTGAAGACCAGGTACCTAGTTTCTGATTCTGATATTTGACCACTTCTGTAGATGCCATACTCATGTGTCACTGATATCCTGGTCAAATTGTCCAACCACATCATTTCAGTTAAACTAAGTAGTGAAGTTATACCGGATATCGGTAGTAATATGTAATGAAAGATTTCTTTGATATATATATATATATATATATATATATATTTTATTTTTTTTTCTCTCCAAAGTGTTTTGAAAATGTTACTTATTTTCTTAGTTCTGTCAAGTTACTTAAATCTAGGTTAACCATATTTAAGTCACCACTTACTAATACAGCTCTGGAAAATAATGAGACCATTCCATATTTTTAAAAAAATGCATTTTTAAATGCTGGTTTAATCCTGGATCCTGGTCCTGCTGGCAGAAGGCTGCACTGAGCGGCAGGGCTGCTTCCAGGCTCAAGATTTCTCAGGCAGCAGAACACAAGAACAAGATGAAACTGGAGACACTGGGAACGACCAAAACGACCAGCCATGTAGAGGGCAGAAGCACATTTTTTGTGGCAGAGATGACCGTCAGTTAATCCGACAGTTTCTCATGAATCGGAGGGTGACATCAAATGACCTTCAAAAGGAATGGGAAACATTAAGTGCAGGTGTGAAGTGCACTGCTAGGACAGTTCATATCAGGCTCCTAGAAGCAGGACTGAAGTCCCATAAAGCAAGGAAGAAGCCCTTCATTAATGAGAAGCGGGGAAGAGTCAGGTTGAAGTTTATATTTAAAAAAATAATAATAATAATATTACTCACAGATGCACATCCATAGATTGAAAAATGAGTGAAACAAAAAAATGTGCTGTGGTCTCAGTTTTTTTAGGGCTGGGTACAGGTTAAGGTGGTCGTGCTGTGTGTGTGTGTGTGTGTGTTTGTGTTTCTTTTTTGCATTTGAATGATTATCAAACCAAAAAGTGACTTTGGATCTCTGTGTAAATTAATGCTTCATATATTACTGCGATACTAAAATGATTATATCAAATGGCATTTTATCTGAGTTCTAGACACAGATGTAGAAATGCATGATATTTGTAGTTTGGATGTTTCTAAAGAATTTGCAACCTTCACCAGGATAAGAGATGATGGATGGATGGATGGATGTTTCTGTGGAATGCCTGTATCTTTTCTTGGGTAAAAATAGCCAAGGTATTTACATAAGAATGCCCCTAGTCACACATCTAATTAAATACTTAGACTAAGTGTGAAACACTGATAGGTTCTGCCCTGTTTAAATATTTTAAGAGCAGGGTTGTGTTTTCGGGGAACGTACAGAGATGACACAGGATGGAAAAGGGGTGTTTGTTTAGTCTTGCACCTGTAGGTAGAAATGGTAAACAGATTCAACAGAAGTACCAAAAATATCACTGTTATGCTGTTAGAAGTGCCATCAGAGCAGAGTCTGACCCACAAAGGTGGCTGTTCCGGGCACTGTGCCGGTTGGTGGGGTTTGTGTTCATTAAGCTGCATCTGAATCACTTTCATTCCTCTCCACATGCTGTCGGCTACCAGATGGATTTAAAATATAGGCCTATATATAAACACGGTGCTAAGGCATTTTGTATTCATTTAGCGTTTACTTCGGGCGTGTAGTATATAAGTTTAATCGCTAACTCATAGGACCTGTAATTATTTTTCCATCCAGTGCTTCGAATCATGTCGGTCAATTTGAAAAAGAAACATAGCATGATGGAAGTGTCTTAGTGTCACATACATTGTGCCAGCAGTTGTGTTTTTACTGGGATTCTGTGGTCCTCATAACTCTGCTTATAATAAATGCCTACATGACAGTCGAATTTTAATTAGTCACCCCCAGGAGCACAGCTTCTGCTGGAGTGTCCAGTCAATGGGAGAGTTAGTGAGTGCAACGGATTGATTGATTGATTGATTGATTTACTGATTGATGAAAATGTGTCTTAGTCAGCAATCAATATACAAAAAAACTTTAACTTCTTTAACATTCGGATGTAACTGTCTTGAGACACTTAGGGCAGTCTTCCACTGCTACCGAACTTTTGGTACTTCAAACCAGTACCAAAATCCATGGTACTCTTTGTGTTAGTCTCAGTTGGTATTGGCACAGAATGACATCATTAGTGACTGATGCCATATTTGTTATTGTGGCCTTTAATTTCTCTATGGCCTACAGTAATCCTGCTTGAATGTTTAAATTGTCAAGCAGCACTGTTTTGCGTTTGTCCCATTTATTCCATACAGTCGGCTATTTTAGCAAATAACTTTCTATTCTTGTCATGCCATCCAGATCTCCTGTGAATCTGTTCTTCCAAACAGATCACAATTTAAGCATGGGTCTCCTCCTTTGTCCATACATCCATTGTCATTGCTTATCTTTTTTCTTTGTTAATCATTGTTTTCTGGCTCTGAAATACACTTTTTCAAGATGATGGTTGTATTTAGTGTATTTTTACAATAAACACGTTTGCTAGTCTCGCCCCAAAGTACTAAACATGTTCCCCTGCTGGTTTGGTACTTTGGAAATTAATAGAAAAAGGGCAGTACCGATTTTTTTGTACCAAAAGTTTGGTACCCCGCCCTTAGGCAGGTCGGTGGCAATATTGATCTCTTTAGAGATTTCATTGTACTTTTAAGGTATTACATAACTGTTACAGTTACATTATACTTTTTTTTATCTAAAGGTTCTTCTGAGTGACAATGTTTTTTCTTTGTAATAATGAATGGATTAAAATTTATTCACGCCTCTGTGTAATCATTCTTCTGTTTTAAAAAAGGGATTACTGCTTCGTGTTTGGGAAGATATGGCCTTTGCAAATCCACTGGGAGAAAGAGAGAAGCCAACTGAAAAGAAGTCATTGCGCACATTATGGTATGTAATGAGAATGCAGCTTTCACATCATCCCATCAAACAAGATTTTATACTTTGCAGTTATATATGTATCCTGTTTCAGAAATTTTGTGGAATTTGGTAAAGGTTACTAATTAAATATCAGAATTATAAAAAATAAAAAAGATTTTTTATGCATAATAACTAATATTCATCCATTTTTGTGAATTCTGTACACTTTAAAAGAAATTGTAGTTCCTATACTCTAAGCAAAACAGGATGTAATTCAGTGCAAACTTATATCTAAAAGGCCTACTTGTATAAAGCTCATATGCAACAAATATCTTCGACATTTCATTGAAATCTTCTGTAGTTTTTGTAGACGTTTTAGTCTATAACTCGTGGTGTCAAGCTATAACTATTAAATTAACAATTCATTTTACAAAGATCTGGAAAAATACACTGCAGCCATTCAAACTCAGTCATGTTGTTCCTTTTTGCCTTTAGATTTCTGAAATACTTAAGAGTCTTTACAAATAATGAATGTCAGATGACAAATAATGGAGATGTGAATATACATCACAGCTAGCTTATTTAGAAATTAAGTGCCAGCCAAAAGAAAATAACTCATACAAAAAAAATGCAAGAAAACATACAAGCACGATCACAAATGTCTCCATTCATTAAACCACAACAATAACATTTCTGAAAACAAAATTCCAAAGAAAATGCAAAAACTGAACTGTAGTTTCAAACGAATAGCAAATGCCTATTCAATATAAATGTACAGCTAACTCATTCCTGTGCTATTTTGTTTACTCGGATTTTATGTATTTTTTTAATCAGTAGTCTTTTTTTTTAATCTAAAATGTCCCTCAAAATCTTTCCTTCTGCTGCTATGCCTCTTACGTGACAGGAAAACCGTGTCCACAGCTGTGCGGAAACAATGAAGCAGCAAAAAGCCTTCGTGACATAGACGACAATCATTAGAAAGCAACGAAATCGGCGCTAAAAAGAATATCGTATGCTGAATGATCAGGTCGAAGACCCAAGAGCTTAGGCACCAGAGAAGGCGACCTCCTCATCAACGGAAAGCAGCGTGATCCATCATGCTGCGATTCCTTCCGTGTTTGGCTCAGTACCGACAAACGACGTCCCAGTCTAGCGATCGTCACGCACTTTGGTATCTGCACGGCAGTAGCACTGGTGCATGATCAGCCCACGAGGGCCTGGGACTAGCAGCTAAAGATAGGCTACACTTAGCATGTAGCACCTATTTTGGAAAGCAGCAGCAATGTAATGAAGCGTTAAGTTAATCTCCCCTGGGTTGAGGAGTCACAGGCGCGGGACACCTAACATAACAGCTTGGGTGTGGAATGGGCCTTTTTGTTAGCGATGTGGGGCTTCGCCGGAGCCGCGTTCCTTCTTCGTCATCATCATCATCTCCCCAGGCACGACCATCCCTGTCAGGCATACGCCTCCCCAGATTTGAGCGCCACCAGCTCCGAGTCCTCCAAGTGTCTCCCGTTCAAGTGTTCGCTGGTGCAGTCGTGGTGGAACACGAAGGCAGGCATCTCGGTGATGGACGTGGTGGTGTAGGAGGTGGAGCGCATGGAGCAGTGCTCACGCCGGCGCTGGCCCCACTGCGCCTTGTACTGCATCCACTGCCTTTTCAGCACGGCCTGCACCTGAAACACACGCTAGCGCATGACGCATACAGAAACACAAGCATGCCCGGCCTTGACAAGAAACATAGCACGTGAGTACAATGGGATGCCGAAAGACACTTTGAGACCATTCTGGGAAAAGTTAATCAGTGGAAGAGGCGTTCTACGGCATCAACCACTGACCACCTCTTTTTTTGGCCGACTGTGGGCAGCAGGGCTCAGAAAGGACAGAGATCCTTCAGCCGGGCCTGGAGGGAGCTGAGATGAACTCTGAAAATCATGAAGAGAAATGTGCCACCCACATCCATCAGCCTCTGCGTTAGTCTTTGTGGGAGCTGTCAACTTCACGTCAGAAGACTAGATGACAATCGTATTTAGTTCCCTACGGCACTTTGTCAAAACGTACCCCAGCTGCACACCTTGGGTCCTGTTGGACACGGATGACTGATTGCCATTTGATTTCCAGCTGAATCGCCAATTGTTTAACCGTCCAGTTAAATAAATCATCGGAATTACTTGCTCCTGTGATATATTGGCATCCTATGCAGAGTACACACTGCCTTACTGGCCGGACAGGGTCCATGTGTCAGCAGCCATGCTTGTATAAGTGACAACTGAAGATGGAGGGATGTAGGATTCATTCACTGGAGGTGGTGCTGGTCAAGCCATTAGGTGACACAGGTGGCTGGCTAGGGCGCCATCTTCTGGGGGAGTGGTGAATTGGCATACCGCTGGAAGTGTGGCAGCGGTGGGGGCACAAGGCGAAGCTTACCTAGGGTGGCATGTGGGCCTTGATTTGGGGATTGCGGGGTTTTATTGAATGTGGGATTTATTTTAATTGAATTAGCTAGCTGACGTTCCTATTTAGAATGAATGGTAGGATCATTATGGCAGAGCCTGATGCGTTCTCCTTGGGCTGAAACACAACGCACTGCTCAGCTAGTATTATTAGCATTACACTCATAACCATATTGGTTTCTTAATATGGGAGAAAGTTCACATGTGTATGTAAGCAGGGAAATGTTAAGCATTGGATGCAGCAAATTATTTTAAGAGGAATTAATAGGGTTGAAATTGTTAGCAGACTATTTGTAATAATTCAATTTTCCACATCTGTTATGCATAGAACAAGTATTTTCTTATTTTGTAGCGATTGGCAAATGTAGCTGCAAAAATATTACGCAAAAAAAACGAATGAGAATCGTATTCATTTAATTTGATTGAAAGGAACTGAGTATGCTTGGTATCGACGCATTTTCAAATATCCACTGAGATGATTTATTTCTGAACAACTCCGAGGGGCACCCTGTGCTTTGTCCTGAATGGTTCATCGACGTGGCCTGTTACCATGGCCAGAAGGGGAGGAAATTGGGCAGAGAGCCATGGAGAGTGGGGAAAAAAATGCAGAAATGCCAACAAGTTAAGTAGGATGAATCATTATGTGGAACAATCAAACATTCCCACGAATTACATGGCAGTGCCCCTTCTATCTCTTGGACGCTGGATCTGTCCTGAACACCCAGTTTGTTTGTGCTATGCCCTGAAGGTGACAGGGACTGACAGCTCACGCATGAGCTAATATCTGACCTATTTTCAAACCCATAACAATTTTCTACATATAAAACATAATATATCTTAGGCCTGTAAAAGCTGGTAATTCACAGTTTTCTGTGCCAGAACCACATCCTCAGTACTCCAACGTGTCTCATTTCCGCTGCAGCATTGTTCGGCATCTCTCGTGCTGAAAGGCCGGGCTATTAACCCTCATCTCCTAATGTCACGTGATGGGCTGCTAACTGTCATCGGACTCACGCACACTTAGGGAGCCCGAGACGCTCCTACTGTTTAATCGCTTTTCTTTTTTCGGCCCGTGAGCCGACCATAAGGAAACCGCCCTGCTCTTGTAACATTTAACGTGCTGATTTTGCGAGGGCTGGACCAGAGGCAGCTTCTGAAAAGCAAGAGTCTTACAGCGCAGAGTTACGTCTTTCTCTCAAGCCTGTGTAGCTGCCAAAATAATAAATAATCGCGGCCAAGTCCCAGTGATCATTCGATAGGCGCGTATTTAAAGAGAGCTGCCACTGGGATTTTGTGTGATCAGGTACTTATACGCTGTGATGTGATGACATTTCCAGTTTATGATGTTGAACGACACGCGTCTTCTCTTGTGTCCGAAGGTCCAATGCCTGACAGAGTTGCTACATTGTCTCCTCCCATAATGCATCTGAGTCACATGATTTGGCTCCTCTTCACCACCCTGAACCCGGACGCCATGTGCCATGAGGAACACGCTGCCTTCCTCGGCGAGGTAATGAAGCCGTGAGATTAAACAACAGCCATCACTGCCAACACTTTTCTACGTGTGCAATCGATCAGGATGACAGAAGAGGCAGATAGACTGAAGCGATGTAAACAGGAGACATACTTACTTCTCCATTGAAAAAGCAAAATATCGTCGCCACCAATAACCCCTGAAAAGCAAATATTTACGATTAATAGTAATGAAGTATTCGGTGAACATGTAGCGGTGCTAGCGGGTGCTAGCGGGTGCTATTAGTACCTGGTAATTCATCAGTATGTGCATTATGTAGTCAAACACCTCGCCAGCAAGCCTGTTCTCTGGTCTCCAGGGTATGATGACGAACTGAATCCCCAATAATGGCACCAGGATCAGTGTGGCCCTCACAGCCTTCATGTACATGTTGGACTCGGCCCGGTGGGTGTCCCGCAGCTTGGTCACCAGCACCCTCACGATGTTCAGCAGAAAGAACAGGTTGACCTGGAAGGCCGGTGAAAAGGTGCCCATTACCATAGTCATAGACACTTTCCCAGCATGCACTGCTGCAACGCTAGAGGACTGAGTGATACAGTGTTGACTCACCAATAGGGCTGCCATGATGGGCCCATGTATTATGTAGGGCAAATGCGTCTCCACACTCATCCAGCAGCTATTGGACATTCAAGGTTTCGTGGTTAGATTTCCCATCCTTTTTGGTTTGTACTTCTCCGCCTTTTTCAGAAGACTTGAAAAAGACTTACTTGTCGTCGAAATATTTTTTCCTCGCAACAGCATGGATGGATGCAGGCACCAAGGGAAAACCTAAAAGACGAGCAAACTGTACTTTAAACACAAATAAATCACGGTGAGGAGTCAATTTCTGTATAATACATAGTTCAACTAAAAGCTAAATGAATTCATACAAAGAATTAAAATAATATACCATTGTTAATTCACAATTATAATTTATATCTTTTGGCTGCTTTATCAGACACTCCTACTACCCATTCTTCCCTCCAGAACTGCTTTAGGGGTAGATGAACAATCAGGGACGTCTTTCTCCACACCACTATGGTACTGAGCGGTTATTTTTGCACTTCCTGTTATCTTTAACGAGCCTTGCCGTTCTCCTCCCACCGTTCTCATTAGTGTTAGGTGTTCATAGGTGTATTCAGCCACGGAGATACCAGACCGAATAGCGCCACGCTATTCTCTATGAACTCTAGGTACTGTAGTGCAGAAATCCCAAGAGGATGGCTGTTTCTGAGCGCCTGGAATCTCCAATCACACCACATTCAAAACCACTAATTGTAATGCTCAGTCAAATGGAAAGTGAACATCTTGACACCGTCTGCGTACTTTGTGTCTCTGGTTGCAGTAGGGTGAGCAGATAATCCATGTCGGGGAGGATACCTTGAGCTACATAAGGTCGCTCACACGGTTTTGTGTGTAGACAGACGAACGTGCGAACATGGGGCGAGTTGGACCAACGAGTTTAAAACGAACGTCTAGCAAATGAGAGAGAAGGGTCTGCATGCTTGACAAGGTGCCGCGAGGGTTTGAACACAAGCTATTTCCAAAAATTGCTGGAAAGGAGACTGTGAATCTGTGCTGCTGTGATAAAGGCAGGGGGTGGTTGTTTTGATGAAACCTGCATGTAGGCATTCAAATCCATTAAATTGCACTTGCAATGCACAGTGTGTTACATTATCCTTCAAAACCAGTCAGTTACATTTGTTTTAAGTATTTCTGATATTTCCTTGTAATAAATGTTTCACAAAGCAGTGTATCGTTTATTTTTTTTAAATCTTAGGGTGGGCCCAAACCTCTGGCCTGTATTGTATGATTATTTTTCTTTAAAAATATATTACAACACTTCATACAATTCTTTTCATTTAACAAAATGTTATAAATCACATTTACTGAACCAAAACCTACACCTGGAGTCTCCAACTCTGGTCCTGGAGAGCTACTATCTAGTAGGGTTTCTGTCTAACCTGGCTTCTGATTGGCCACACCTGTTCTGGCTCATCAGAAGTCAGGTAGGATAGAAACCCTACTGGACAGTAGCTCTCCATGACCAGAGTTGGAGACCCCTGACCTAAAGGTAGGCCACATCCATAAATTGCAGTCATATTTTTAATTCTGACAGGCCGTAACGGCCAAGAATCCAAGCCGCTGTAGAAGGAATGAAGCCTGGGCCATTAACAGCTCTTGTCCGTTCGTCTGGTAATTATTATACATGGTTAGGGCTATCAGTTTATCTTTAATAACAACCAGCTTTTCAGAGATTCTTTTCAACTGACTAATTAGTCTATATCTGTCATCTGATGATTGCAGAATCCAAACATAAATCATGGATCTTCAAACTGAAGCATAAATTAAACTATGCATTTAATAGAAAACAAACATTAACTCTGTATGTTTTATTTTGATAAAGAAGAGTTTTTTTTCCCATTTGAAATGCCAAATCACTGATCCAGTACGCCTTGATATCTCATGTAATGCTGGATACCTGTGTGATGAATCTCTCGAGGGTATAACTTATTGCACACCATTTAGCCGGAAATGGCTCCTTTTTGGAAGAAGTGAAGCTACAGCTCATGAAATTGCTAATTTGATTTAAAAGGGCAATGGAAATGCAATATTACACATTACTGTCACAGTGATAATAATGTTGAGTATAAACTTGCAATATTTATAGTCATTTGTATTACTTTCTAAATCTACTAAAGCATCACTTAAAATGCTGAAGTGTTTTAGAGTGAAACGGGCATTCGTTTCCATTTAATGGTTGGCTGGAGTGAGACTAACCATATGTTATAATCATATTTTTACATAATGAAATTAATATTAGTGGGCAAATTGAGGGCATATACACATGAAACTAACCGTGTTATTAACTTATCAACCCTAACACTCTGATTGTGAAGTATGTGTGATTACTGAAAGGCTGCTCAGCTTAGTGATATATGTCTGACCCACTGTAATGCTTTCAAGGCAATCACAAAAATGCAGCAGCCATGAAAAAGACCAGAAATGTGACCAGTGTACACAGGTCACAGAACTGTGCTATTTTAGTGTAAAAGGGCAACATTTCTGTAAAAGAACCATCTCTGTAATGATTTGGCTGGTGCTTCATCACTGTAAAGTAAAGACCAACCTTGTATTACATCAACTCGACAGTCTCGGTCTTTTCCCTGTTGAATTTGCAGAAATTTGGCAAACACATCAATATTTACTAGTGGTAAGACATTTGCCTCTTCGGTCCATCCTATAGATATGCATGAATGTTTGCAGGCACCAATCTTGCTAAATTGAGACACACTTCGGACACGTCTCCTCATAAATATTCACGAGTGTGGCGGCGACTGGGAGCAGTTCCTGGCCTAGCTGTACGGATGGCAAACTAGACCTCTTTTACAGATACAGGGAAGAATGCAGTAATTTCCCCTGAGATCTGATAGCACTCTGGCACCTGTACACCCTCTGTGTTTTTCCACCGACAGAAACATCCGATACTGTCTTGTAATTCACCACGGCGGCGTCGCCTCTCAGAACACAAGCTGTTCGCAAATTAACGGTCCCTCACTGCAGCCAATCCTTTGCTTTCGACTGGGTCGCTTATGAGACTTGCCCACTACACGTTGACGTGGGTTTTATTTGTTTTTATTGAGCGACCCGGCAGACTCACCCCAGCCTAGGAGGTAATACCAGTGTAAGTGCTGCTCTTCAGCAAACACAGCCACGACGATGAGGGTGTGCAGGTAAATCCCCTCACACAGCATCCAGAAGTAGTTACACCCCAACATGTACATGTGGAAGTAGTGCAACACCTTGCAGCCAACCTGTGAAAGGAAATCAAATCAACATCAAATTCTGTATTCCCTGTGCCTTAGGCTCAGGAGTCATAAATGTCCTGCCCTCACCCTATTTAACCAACACTATTTGACTATTTGAACACTATTTGACTATGGATAAACATCCATGAGTCTATCCCCTTGTCTTGTATTGGAGTTTAATTACTAACAGTGGCATTGGAAGGAAATTCACACCTTGGGTTCAATTAGAATATATTTAAGTAAACAGGTAAAATAGTAAAACTTGTGTCAGTGTCCAAATATTTATAGTCCTGACTGTATGTGCATGTTTGCATGTTTGAGGTTATGCAACATCATCGTGACGCCTGGTGGCTCAGGCAGAGAAATTATGTTACTATTCGGGCTCAGTTGGGGTCGGGCCTAATTGCCACTGGCCTGAACCAGGCTCAGACTGACACTTCAGGCCCCTGCACGTCTCTATTAGCAATAAAGCCCACTTGACTTGTCTTTAGACTACACTCTGTTTCCTCCTCATGCTGTCACTGGTGATTGCAGTTTCCTACATTCCTACCCATCTCCGTTCCCACCTCTGCCTGCCGGGTGACCAATCAGCACACATCACGGACTCGGCTTCATATTGCCAGGTGACCAGGCGTATTTTTGCCCCTCCCCCACCCTCATTTTTAAAAATAGCAAAAGCTTCCTAATTTCACCCAAGGCTAACAAGTATATTCACATCCCTTTCTTCCAACAGCAGCGCTGTGTGCTGATGGATTTCATGTGATTTAAGCCGTATGTCTGGAAGCCTGGGTTCCTTGTTCAAAGCTGCTTTTTAAATAGTAATTCCAATATATTCCCATACTCTCCCATCTGCTGGGGTAATACTACATTAATGCGCTACAAAACCGAACACGGCCGAAAAGGTTCTCCTAATCTTGTCTAAAATCGAGAAGACAGATATGCTTCTCTCTCCATCGGTATTAATGTTGAGACAGCACTATTTGAAGGTACTAGATCCTGTCTGAGTGTGTAAATCCTCACGGGGTGTGTACTGACTGAAAATACCAGTTTTTATTTTAGGTCCACTGAAAGTCCTGGTATAGCCTCTCCCCAAGCAAACACATTATCTGGGAAACAGACTACCAATAATGAACCTGATCTTACGGGAAAAAAAAACAAACTATGCTAATGTGTACAGGCAATTTACAGGTTAAGAACGGCTGACTTTTGGAAAACTCGTACTTATGAATGGACTGCCATAAAGTCTCTTATATTAAACATTTGAGTTAAATACAATGGTTCGTAATAATAAGCACACGCATGAAAATATTACTCTGCTTAAGTAGTTCATCGGCTTCAAGTACTGTACGATACCGTGTGTAGCTAGTTTTATTATTACTGTAATACTATTACTATGAAGTGTATTATTATGTTTAAGATGTTTTAGTGTATTTGGAAGTGTTTCACAACTGTTTTATTGCATAGAAAGGTAAAATATACTAAGACAAACATTTCACTAATTGTCACTAAATAAGAACCCGTATCTATCTGTTCCAACTTACCTACAAATTCGACTAAACTCAGGGAACATGTCTCATTTGTAACCCGAAGACTGTCTCTTTAAATACATTACTGATAACCTGTGCCATTAATAATAAATAAAGCGTATGCATTGAAACAGAATGTTTCCTGATCTGCAAGAATGAACAAGGTGGCCGTGCTGACGATTTCATTCAATTCACTTCAATTCAGTTGAATTATGCCACTCACCAGAGCATAATCGCTTCTTTGAATTAGGATGCAGAACATCGGCCTCTCTTTTTTCTTTTGATGTGAATAACTTATATAATTTATTCACTGAGCTGAATAATTAAGTGCTTCGAGGATCTCAGGCCCCTAGGTTTTTAATCTCCTTCATTTTCTCTTTTCCAGATGGTTGTAAGCTAATGTAATAGCTGGGTCTAGATAGCCCCAAAAACAGGGTATCTAGGTCAGAGGACAGGGTTGGGGCACTAGTTCACTTTGTTCATGTAAACCACCCCTTGATCCTATCACAAAATAGCTAAAACAAGCTTTATACATGAAAAAAAGGCCTAGAAAATACCCTTGAGGAAATTGCAGCAACAGTTCTCTAGAAACCGTATTCCATCATCTAAGCAGTGGGTTTGAGCTTATTTAGCAATACTGATATTGTCCTTTACCACTTGCAAACTGCAGGGTGGAGTTACTTGCTTATGGATGATATCATTGACACCCCCCCCCACCACAGGACATGATGAACTTGGAAGAGAGGGATGATGAGGAAAGTGGGAACAGCTGAAGTAAGATCAAAAAGCTTTATGGGGCTGTTACTCAGAAAAAGTAACACTACATTTCAACATGTTTACTTTTGGTTTCAATTAAACTGTATTTACTGCACAACAAACCCCCATCGCAGAGTTACTGTTATGTGTTTTTGCAACTTCGCTTCCACGTCATCTTTTATTTCTTATGTTTTTACCTTAATTTGTGTTTTTATTGGTCTTGTTGCATTCCTTATGTATACTGTACTGCTACAGTGCTATGTAAGTACTTATTGTTTTAGGACACAGACACTTTCTCATTGGTGTGATAACTCAAAAAGTATTTGACCGATCTTTTTCAAACTTTGCAGACATATTGTATTAATGAAGATCTGTGGCCTATTCCACAAAGCAGAATTTCTTGCTTGGCCAGATAACAAGTCAGATTTATGTAGTCCTGGATAAATGTGAACACAGTCCATTTAAATTGGTATACCTTAAATATGACAAGTTATTCGGCTCAGCAAGAAATCCTGCTTCGTGAAACAGCCACCTGGAACTCATCAAATTTAGAGACAGATCACTCCAACACTGAAGCAACAGCACTTAGTGGCAGCAGGTGGGAGGGTGACTACAGAAGAAACTTAACCTTGTGAACAGAATGACAGTGTTTGATCTTATTACTCTGTTCACTCCATTTGATCTTTGATGGATCGTATTACCACATGGAAAAAAAAACATTATATGAATGAAAAGCTTTGCCTGATTTAATTCTGAGACAAATCACCCCAAAACTGAAGCGTCAGAGCAAGGTGGTAACAGAAAGGTAAAATTAATGAACACGGTAAAATGAATGAACAGGGTAAAATTGCTTAGTGCGTCTTATCCAGATTTCTCAGGAACATTTTATGAGTCAGTGATTCTTAAAGTTTGGGGTGTGAGTTTTTCTTAAGGTTCTAAAATAAAGCCAACTGTAGGAGAGATTGTAGAGGTTGGAGGGTGTGGGTGGAGTAGGGCTTGGATGGGTTGGGGGGGGAGGGTGACTGAGGAATACATTGTTGTCATTTTGACAGCATCTAGTTGCTGCTATTATTATTATTATTATTATTATTATTATTATTATTATTGGCAGCACGGTGGCCCTGCTGCCTCACAGCAAGAAGGTCCTGGGTTCGGTCCCCGGGTCGGGCGTAGGACCTTTCTGTGTGCAGTTCACACGCTCTCCCCATGTTCACGTGGGTTTCCGCCAGGGGCTCCGGTTTCCTCCCACAGTCCAAAAGTGCGCATAGTAGGTTAATTGGCGACACTAAGTTCGCCCCGTAATTGTGTGAGTGTGCACCCTGTGGAGTGTTGGCGCCTGCCCAGGGTTGGTTCCTGCCTGTGCCCATTGTTCCTGGATAGGCTCCCGTCCCCCCTGTGACCCCAGTTGGGATTAAGTGATTACAGTGATGGATGGATGGACGGATTATTATTGTTGTTGCTGTTGTTCTATACAGTTTCCCTTGGAAGAAGTGTGGAACCTGACCATAAGTTAATCAGCTCACTGTAACAATCCTCACTGACATCTTGTTAATTCCCATATTGTTTGTTTCCATGGTGATCAATCAATCCTGCCACTCAAACAGATAAGCAGAGCATCCATACCACTTCTGTCTACTTCAGGCAGTAAACTTCTTGGTTTTTAAACTCCTCTTGCATCTGACAGACCAAATTAATGACCAGCATGCAGAGTTTCTCTAAACCGCAGCCCAGTGATTTGTGTTCTGAAGAAATATCTTGGTTTATTCAGGATGGAGGACCGCTATAATCCTGCTACTATTTCACCGGGGCCATGTCATTTTCAGTTTAAAAAAGATCATCTAAATGATTCCCTAGAAAGAAAAACACGTAGAAAGCATGTCAGGGAAAAAAATATTTAAGCATCAGCCTGGACCTTGATAAAGTAACATTCCAAAAAGGCAGCTTTATTTAGTACCTAGAGTGTCAGACTCCAGGATCAAAAGAGAACACATCTATAGTCCAGGGACAGCTTTTCAAACCCATGTCAGGTGAACATATGTGAAAGGTATGCAAAACATTTGTCTCCTGCAAACATACCAGTAGCACGGATGACGTTACCAAGGGCAAGAGGCCGACCGCTATTTGCCATGTCTATACAGATTATAAACCTTACTGTAATCAGAATTATTAACTGAAGAAAAATCACAGCATTTGTTTTAAATTATGATAGTAGTATCCTGGGGCTGCCTGTGTCTCCTGATGGGTTGATCAGCACTGATTTGCAGTGAGGTGATTTACTTCAGCGTATCTTCAAATGTTACTATATGGTAAACATATAATGTCTGGAACATCATATTCGTTAAGTGGAAAAGTGGAGTCAAATCTGTTTGGTTGAATCATTTTGGACACAGCAGAATACGTTTTAAAAAAGAATAAGTCGTTTTAATGAGCTCAGCATAACTTATACAGGTAAGCTTTACATTAAATGCATATCATAATGTATTCATAGACCATTCAGTACACATTCGTAATGCATTCATAAGGAGCGTGTAGTTTACCTTAACATCCTAACATACTTTAACTACTTTAATGTACATTAATTATAAACATTATATGATAATAACAAACATTATAATCATATAATGGTACAATGTTTCTTATTACTGTATATTTAAAGCTGTTAATGTTTGTTAGAATGTTACGATCTACTTACATGCTGCTTATGAATGTTCTATGAATGCATTATAAAGGCATTATGAAGGTGCAGTTAATGTACAGTGTTAACATTATGCATAAGCAGTCAGGACTCACAGGATTGCTCTCCACCAGCTTGGGGTTTCCCACGACCGCGACAAGGTTCACGATGGTAAATGCCGAGTTCAGGACATAGGAGCAAAACAAATTCTTGTGCAGTGTTATCCTTTGGCAACTCAGGCTTCTGTGGAAAAAAAGCAAAATTTGCATGAACCTTAACATTTGCATCGGTTAATCTGTACGCTCACTTGCAGCACACTGATTTATAACACTCAGTAGTCTTGTGCCAGCCTCAAGAGCGATGTTCTCGACAGTGTTTGGACAAACTGTAGCTGGCCATATTCAGTGTTCCAGAGAGAACATGTAAGGAGAGGCATCCTTGAGGAGAGGTTAAAATTAAATTAGCCATAATTCATAAAGCACTTTGCAAAAAGTTCCTTCAAGGAAAGTGCATGTTTTCCCTACTTTAAACAGATTAAACTGGAAAGATTGGAAAGTAGACTGGAAAAATATTATTTTCTTCCGATGGTAAAAAAAAACTGAAAAAAACTTGCCTGTAAAAGTGTTTTGTTTCATCTCTGGTGAAGTAAATTAAACAATGAACAATAAAATATGTCTGAAACATAACTTTTTCCCTAAAAGAAATTAAAACAGCATTCAGAATAAACAAATGTTATCCGTTATTTTTAAACTGCACAATGAATGGACTATAAATAAAATATAAACAGGTCAAAAGACTAAATTCATCTGCCTTGATGCCAATTCTCATGTGCTGTTTAATATTGTACACATCATGCATCAATTCAGTGATTATTATTACGGTTTATAAACATAATCTATGAGTTAATAAACTAGCCACTGATTTACGACTTTTAAATTCAATTTTCTCTATTAATTAATTCAGTTAATTTTGAAGGCTATATGTGGTTATTGCATTAAACAGGCCAAAATAACACCTGTTGTCTTCCCCATTAAAGCCGATAATATGTATAGATAACACATGGACTGCTGCATGACAGACATTTTGATTGGGTGGGATCAACTGCACCACTGCATATTATTACAAGCCCTCTCCAATCACAATTCTTCACACGAGGCTGCATTTGTATATGTGACTTAAACAAGGTGAACCTCTTGAAGAACGTTTAGTGTTCCGAAAGCTCAGAGTCATTGTCAAGAGTCTTTCAAAGTGCTTCAGTTCTGCCTGAGGACAAGTGGGCAAACATGTGAGCTGGAAGTCTGTGGACGGTCGTAGTAAGACTGGCAGCGACCTTCAGCTAACGTTTCAGGTTAGCGGGGCACTGTAAATAAGAAGATTCTGCTATTCGACACCATGAAATACCCCAGTAAACTCCACATCTGGATTCAATAAGGCAACCCTGAGACCTTGACGTTTAAAGAGATCAGGCTATAAATACTACAGCATTACTATAAAACACACTCTTCAGAGACAGGTTAAACTTTACTAGGAGTATCCATAGTATATGTTTTGAGGTGGGTCTGTAAAGCCATAATGTATTTGCACTAAACCCATCTTGGGTTCACAGCTGCTTTTGAACTTAATATATATGTAAATTATTTACAGAAGAAATGTAAACGATATGTATTAATCAATTATGTTAACGTGATGTTTCTCAATGCAAAGCAACATGTTTGTACTTAGACTCTATAGAGATTACCACATTGTTTCCCTTAATGAAAGTGTCTTTCCCTTATTTCAGTGCCAAGACAAAAAATCTTTCATATTTTATTCATTAAGGAAAAGAATCTTGTGTGCATATTGAATAAGTGAGAAAATTTGTCTTAGCCTTGGCTAGTCTTAGCCAAGTGAATTTAAAACGCATGTTGTTAAGACATTTAGTTACAAGACAATTATCTTGTATATTTTGAATCTTAATAGTAACACAGACCTTCAAACTATATAAAAGAACTGATGTCATTATTAAGCTAAACAAAGAGTATGATTTACTAACAGTTTCAATTAAGTAAATTATTATTAATAATATATTACAAATGCTATTACTACTACAACTACTACTACTACTAATAATAATAATAATAACCTATGAGTTTGCCACACCCAGAAAACCACATGGAAATTCTACTTTAGATCACTTCTTTTCAAAACGCACCTTCAGCAAAATCATTTCACGTGAACATCCATGAGTACAATATAAGCATGCAGTGGAAAGCAGACTTAAAACTGATACCTATTTCCCACCAGCCTTTGAACAATACCACACTGTTCATCTAACCTCCCTCTACAACAGTTTTCCTACCAACATTAAGATTTAACTGAATCATAATTTAGAAATATGACGATGTATCAGAGAGATTTACAGTTTGCCAGAGTCAAACACATTGGAAAATATTAAAATAACTGGCTTTGCCTCTGTAAGTGGTTCATGAAACCCCGTCTTTGTATATACTGGCTAGAACCAAACCATTGGTTTAGCACACAGGTAAGCTTTTTTCCATTGATAGTCATGTATCACTTGGCGTTATTATAAAAGTATTAATTACCTGAAGTAGAAGAATATTGCTAGGGAAACGAGAAGTGATGCAATGGATAAGGTGTGACCAGCTATGGCCATGTAGTAGAGTATGAACGCCATCTGAGAAAGCAAACACACACGTTTAAAATCACTTTTTAAATATATAGTCATGGCATGATTCATATCCCAAGGTATCGACAAAATGGATGGGGTTCTGGACACGTTCATGCATCATTTCGGGTTTGCAGTGCACAGGTCAGCACAGTTGCATATAAACAGCATTGACAGAAGTGAAAATATGCACTTGTGTTTATTAGGGTTTGTGTGTGAAGTGACAGGAAGGAAGACAGATGCAGATACCGGGAGCCTAGAACAACACAGACATTTCAATATTATACGATTTATGAGCGCAGCTGTTTTTCAAAGAGAAATGTCAGAAAAATATATATATTCAGAAATTTGTCTTTGAAAGTAACAAAGCAGTAAACAGACTAGGCCAGGGGCCTGTATCACAAAGCTGGATTTGTTGCTTAGCAGGATAACTTGTCGGATTTAAGGTACCCCAGATTAGATAGACTTTATCTCTGTTCACGGACATTTAACCCAGCAAGTTATCTGGCTAAGCAAGAAATCCTGCTTCGTGATACAGGTCCCAGTATTACGCAGAAATAAATAAAATGAAATAATGGTAAATCGTTAGTTTCAACATCTTACATTTCGGTGTATTATTATGACAGAGCTTCATTCATGAAGTTATTCCATCTGCAGTTCATACTAAAGAAACAAATTTAATATGACATTAAAATGTCTTTACCCCATGACCCCGTACTAAGTGTTTGGAAGACAGATGGCAGGATAGATCAACATCTAGACCAGGCTGTCCCTGCGCGGCCTGGGATATGCACTTTGAAGATGGATAAATTGTATTTATGGTTATTAGTGTTGAAAATGAATGTTGAATATTGTGATTTTTTTATATCAATATCATTTACACTAATTACTGTCAACACAAGTGACTGCTAGCACAAAAATACTGTCAACAAACAAAAGATGTAAGAAACAAACAAAAGATGTAAAAAATAAATATATCTTCCATACCTCTGACCCCCTACACATCTATCATGTATAAAACAGCACTAGTCATATTTCATATTTTTTGGTTTTTAATTACAGAGAACATTTTAAATTACGTCTATTTTCCCCAGACTAGCAAGTGTCTTCCACTTTTAAGTTCCGGAGTTCACTTTTTGCTGATTTCTTTCCAGCTCAGTTTCATTAACAATGTAACGTGGGAGGTTTCACTTTCGCATTGATCTGCTCTCAGAATCACTGTTCCAGTGGGCGGCTTACAGCTATTTGGCAGTGTAAAGGCGCCGTTTTGCACACCTTATCTTCCGGACAGGCCACACAAACAGTGGCAGTGTTTACCAGCCCATAAACCACACATCTGCAGGGGCCACTAAGGATTGGGGACCCCTCTTGGCCACAACCAGTTGCTACAGTACCAAAGTCACTTTCTGAGCAAGTCCCAGAAACAACAAACCCGGCCGAGCACACAACTTCATTTTGCATCTGTCTCAGGCCTTACGTCCACAGAGAACGCTAAAAGCTATGACATCATTAGGCTGAGACAGCCTATACATTTAAAATATTTCTGTTTTCCCTTGTAAACATGTTTTTTTTTTCCAATCCCAGAGGTGACATGGCAGGATTAATATAAACACTACTGCCTGGGGAAGTTTTGTATCATAATCGTGACCAGCGGAGCATATACAAATGTAGCGGTATATTAGCATGTTTACGCATGAAACATATACCGCTAATTATGCAGCTGTCACTGAACTGTACTTAAGTTGCACAAAAATGGGATTACATTTGATGCCTTGGAAAGAAGCTATAACGAAATGCAAATCAATCCATAAATTATGCATAACTAAACTATAAACCATCATCAGAATTTACTCGTTCCAGTATGATAATGGTTGCTTGTCCTTCCTGCTGTGAATACACATCCTGAGTATTGTAATTACTAAACATTATAATCACTCTGATGTTCATGGGTGTCATGTCTATGCTATTAGCATCCATCCATCAATCCATCCATCCTGGTCAGGTTCACAAGATGTACTGTCAGTTTCTTCTTACCTTGACTTTCTCTTTTGTGTGTAAAACACAGAGGGTGTAATTGGACCACGTCCTGTTAGTCTCGGGGTGTCGAAACCAGTTTCCTGTCTCATCACAATATTTTGTTACTTTTTCTGGCAGAAAAATGAAGCAGGACACTTACAACAACATCCTTACAAAATCAACACCAAATGTTGCAAAAATACGTTCTCCCCAAATCTTACCGGTGGAGTCAAAATCTGGGAAATAATTGGGGCAGTTCTGTGACGTGTATGTCCCGGCGGCCGTGTCGTCCCAGCAGAGCCATCCGTCCCAGGTTCGATTGCAATACATACCTTAATTAAGTGGGAGGAGACCATTCTCAATAAAATATAGCTAAAGCTCTTCAAGGCCATAATTACCAAATAACCGTTGGGCTCCAATTGTAACGTGTCAAACATTACCATGCTGGAAACATTTAATTTAGACATCTTAGTAGGAACTATTTATGCTATTTATTTATTGCTGCTACTTATTTAGTAAGATTTACCATGTTTATGTACAGTCATAATAACAGTATTTGCTGTAGTGACTAGGGGCTTACCTTAAATCCGTAGTACAGTGTACAGTACCCTGTCATGTACACGCAAACGCTCAGTGTGGTCATTCTGTTACCTGATTTGTTATAAGGCTGATCCCTGTTCATTTTCTCGAAGCACTTATACTGGCCATCGGTGATTTTTTTCCTTTCCTCGACCTTCTGCGTGACAACAGGGCTGACGAGCGATTCGATGGTGGGCTCCGCGTTCCTTCCTGGTGAGCCGTGCATCATCACTCTCTACGCAAAACAAAAAAAAAGGCGGGAACCTAAACATATGTGAATACACACAGGGTAATGCGTTAAAATGGTATTTCACTGAAGTGGATTAATGAGTTAAAGGCAATAAAAGCTTCTGTATGAGATTTAAAAGTTGCAGGGCCTGTTATTTAGTTATTAAAAGCCACACAAAGCCAAAACGTGCTGAGCTCTCATTCGACAGCTTCCCCCAATACTGCATCCTCGAGAGCACTTGACTTTTCGCTGACGTTTTTAAACACCAAATTGCAACTCATTCATCAACAAGAAAAATGGTTCACTCAGTTACCTTTAATATGTCCTTGGACTGAGCAACGCAGTTCACCCAGGTTTTATTATATATGGGATCTTGGAACCAATTGCCTGATTCATCACAATATTTTGTCACTTTTTCTGCAAAAAGAAATGCTTAATTACTAATGCTGTAATTATAACAAAATGAATAAGCCAACTGAATTAGTGTTTTCATAATAATGGAAGATCCAGGCTGTGGTGCTCATTAATGGGCAGGGTGTTTGCTAAATTATACTGACATAATGAGGTAATGTTCAGAATTTACTGATTCATGCTTATTTCTGTTAATTATCCTTAATCTGGCTTCATAGTTTTACTGTTTAAATGTGTTTACTTCTTTCTTGCTAATAAGGGACTATATTGACACAAAACAACAATTACGGAAGTTTTCTGAGGAAAGTGAAACATGAAAAAAATCAGTTCTTGCAGTTTAGTAGAATTCAGACTCTGAACCATTTAAATACCAAAGTTGCTTAATAAAGAAAGTAATAATCAGATCTCGAACTCATTAGAACTCGAATTTCTTAAAAGTTGAACCAGCCAGAACTACCTAGAACTCGATCTGAATCTCAGAAGTGAAACCGTGAATGCCGATCTAAGATAACTTGTATGTGCGGGGAAATGAGTCACGCGGCAAGTCTCTCAGCGGAAACAAAGGGCAAAGCTTCAGTCTCAACCTGGCATTCGCTGTGAGAGCATCCTGCATGTTTACACTAGCTGAATACATATATTTAGACAGTAAAAATACATTTAGACAATGATTGACAGTAACAGCAATTATTATTATATAATAAAATACATTTAAAAACAAATATTTCATACTAATTGTTTTAATATTAATAATAAACCATTAATACATTTAATTGTAATAATATTGTCCTGCTGAGCAGGGATGGAACGGAGACAAAGGCGCAGACATCAGGGTACCGGGGAATACGGGGTTTAATTACAGGTAAGGCAGGCAAAACGCAGACGGACAATACAATGACCGAACTGGGGAAACAAACTGAAACGCGGACTAAATACAGAGGACTAATGACAACAGCCAGAAACAGCTGATCGGGGATTTCACACGGGGTTAACGAGGGGGCGTGGCACGCGGAAGGAGCGGACGATCGGGGCAGGACACAATTCGAAGTTAAATTCGAGTTCTGAGGTACCACTGTGTGTGTGTGTGTGTGTGTGTGTGTGTGTGTGTGTATATATATATATATATATATTTATTTATTTTTCATAATACTATATGTCTTTTAATGTAAATAGTGCGTCATCTATTTAGTGCAGCGACAGTTTGAAAACGCATGCCTTTAACACCTATATATCTATATGACAGTAAACGATAGTCTGCGGGCAATGTTTAAAACCCATCAGAGGACATAATAATAATAATAATAATAATAATAATAATAATAATAATAATAATATAAAAAGGGCAGTTTAACATCGAGGTCATTTTACTAGAAACGCAGTTCTTCAGGCTCCGATAATCAAGCGATAAACAGTATTTTTAAATGAAGATGGTTTCCAATTCTCAATGTAGCGTTCAGGAAACAAACAAAAAGAACGTTTATTGGTGCCTCCAGCATGATTTCAGTAAACCATTTCGCAACTGATCGAGTGGTCTGTTATTTTATTTGATGTGAAATACAGAATGGTCCCAAAGCGCTTGGCTCTCTGCGGGCGTGTCTGACCCCGTCCTCCTCTCACCTCGCACAGTCGGGCAGTCCTGATGCGCGTACGTTCCTGCCGGCGTGTCCTTCCAGCAAAACCACCCGTCCCATGTTTGATTGCAGAACGTCCCTTTAAACGCAGGTAATCAACACGTTAACATATGAATGGTTTCGGTTGCTGAATGATCTGCGGGAATAGATACATGTTTTGTAAGATAATATATGGCGATCAATGTTACTAATTAATTTTTTATTATTATGATTATTCCAAGGATAACTTGCGACAGAACTCTTCATGACAATTACCTGTACTTCCGCGGTCATTGGGTGACATGCACTTCTGTTTGTAGGAGCTGTATGCATTTCTGTAGTCACTTTTGAATCAATTGCCAGATATACCGTCAGGCTCATACAGTAATCAAATGAAATAAAAGCCATTCATTCTAGATGAGGTGACTTCATCCCCCAGTCTACTGGTCAAATTCTAGCCTCAATATCCTGTACCAAGAAAGCTCACCTTGTCCCAGTAAGTGCATAATGGAATCGTTATTGTACCTGTCCTGTTGACTGGTGTGTCGCTGTTCTGCTGCAAACATTTATATTGAGCGTCACTTATTTCTTGCACTTTGCCGTTTGTGTGGATCGGCGTCGGTTTCGGAGTCGTGTCCCGCGTGGGCTTTTCATTTGTTTCCGTCGCGTCACTGGCTGTAATCTGTATAAGGAACGCAAACGGCACGGTCCTGGGGTGAGCATTCACAGGTTAAACACAACGACACTAAACTAACGCGTGGATGTTATGATGCCCTTGATTGTAAGCCTACACTTTGTACCGTTTGACTGCCGGTTTGATCATTTCATTGGGAAATCAATTTGTATTTTCATGCTTGTTGGGAAATTCCATTAAGGGTCTGTTCTCATCAAATTCAAAGATTGTACTTCCTTTCAGTACTGAATAAGATTGTAAATTGATGTTTCATAAGTTTAAAAAATGGCTTTGCGGGTGTTAATAATGTCCTTATCAATTGCACGGGTAATTGTCGACTGAAAACACCGTTTTCTTTGTTATTAAGCTTTAATTATAATAACACACAGATACTGAGAAAACAGCCGTCGATGATTCTCCGCGTACCAAAAACAGCCCAATGTCATTTTACTATTTTAATCTTACAGTTAGGCAGACCTCAGCAGTTTTTTAGGCATCTTTTTTTAGATCCTAAATACTGCATTATTCTTACCTGACAACTTATACTTCAACGCAAGAGATTTTTTTTTTTTATCAAATTTCAGCTGAGGGGAACATTTCAGCACACGGACGTCCCATGTAGCAGTTTAGCAGCCGTACATATGATGTCACTCCAAACACTGAAGTAAATGACGTCATACATACGACCACTAGGCCACCACGCATTTCAGTTGCACTGGCTTGAAAAAAAATGTCTTTCCTCCATTTCCAGTATCCTTGATTAAGAGCACTCTGCGACTTCTCATTCAGAAAGAAAGCAAGGTCCAGAGTTTAAGTGAGAACTTACCAAAAACATGTGCTTACATTATATCACAATTTCATCAACATGCCAGTTATCATTGTAATAATTTTCATGGCGAAGAGCCTGAAAATCAGACTTTTTCGAAGGTTTTAAATCAGAGCTGGAGACAATATAATGTGTCGTGAAATATCATGTGAGCAAATTCCCACATAATCACTCTGCAGTAACAAAATGGCTGCTTAATTAATACTTTATCAAAGAGATGGTATTTACTTGCTGTCCACCAGACCTGGCAGAGGAATTTTATACTTAGAAAGACAGAGATTAAAGCCTGAAGCTGGATTTCACGCCCTTGCCCACCAGCCACTGATAAAGACTGGCATTTCAGAGCATTAGACTGAATGGCTCAAAGATCGTCCTTTTTAGGTCACTGATGCTTTTAATTACCAATGTGAACTAATTACTGGCTAACAGATTAGTGAACCACATCAAATTAATCTTAATTTCTCCAGGCTTTCAGATAATCAAAAAAAGGCTAGACCTTACTTCAAACAGAGACCTGATACAGAGTAACACTATCTCCATTTTACAGAAACCTTCAAAGAACTGCTACCAAGAAAACAGTTATTAAATACTAATTATCACCCCTAAATTTCATGGTATTAAAAGCTGTTAAATATGCCTTGGCCAGGTGTCTCTTTATTATAAGAGTGAAAGGCACATAGTTCATATTTCATTTAAGAACTGGGTTATCCAGTAAGTGGTACATGTTATGTAATGGTTAGACTTACCAGTATGAATGGTATCAAAAGCCAGTGGGTACTTTTTAATTTCATTTTGGTAAATCCCAAGTTTATCTGCGAATATAAAAAGGAAAATTACATTAAATCACAAAATCAAACCAAAACTGATCAAATTGGCACCCAAACATCTGCTAGCCACACTAATCTCTATATAGAGTGTGCAGCTTATTGATGGTTTCAGTGCTGGAAATGAATCAGAAGAAAAAAAAGGTTATTCTTTAGGTTCTGGAATGAATATTGTTTATAATGTTCAAGTGAAATAATCCTCTTTGGTCATTCAACCTTGCCACAACAATGGTGACATATGCCTTTACTTAGCTCGACATACAGTATTTACTTTCGATGTGATTTGACCTTCTTCTTAGCCTTTTTGGCTCTTGAGAAAGAATACGAGCACTGGCCTTCAAACGGCTTAGGAAATATTGCGATTCCACATTCATTCTTCTCTCACATCCAAGTCAAGGAGCAGAATAACCCAGGAAGTTAAGGTCGGTTCCAGAACACAATCCTGAATGTCGCCAAGGACAGGTGCGAGATGGGGCACTTCAAAGACAAAGGGGAAGCTGTCCTTAGAGCAGTGAGGACTCGGCACCAGGCCCGGCAGTGTGGTGGACAGCTGGTACGCAAGCTGTCACAATGTGAGCCGCTGTAGGCCAGACCCCATAAGCGAACTGCAACCGCTGGGCATCCTGTCCTGGGAAACATGCTTACATCAGCAGCCAATCAAGGAAAGCCGGCCTTGCTGCAAGTGAAAACTAATTTGCATTTGAATAATGGTGGATATCATTTTCAAGCTGTGCTGAAAGGTTGTAGAACCGGATTTCAGATGTTTTATTTGCTAGTTCTGGAAAATTAAACTGGTGATCAGAGGTGAGAAGTTCAGATCCAGGAAGTAAAAATCTAGACCAAGATAGTGTTTCAACCAATCAGTTAAAGAACCACTGTCACAGCGCTAAACTGGTTGGCTGGAACGAAATCTGAATTGTTACTTTCTAGCCCAGAACTATCCACCTCTGCTGATGATACTGGTTAGTCTGGCAGTGACTTCCCAGATCTATGTATTTCTAATGTGTTCAGCCCTCACTTGTACAGCAGATTGCCATGGCACTGAAAGACCAAGGTTTGGGTATCTAAACCACACCATACCAAAAGCAGGCTCAATGTTGTACTAGACAATAGGGCTAATTATTTCGAGACACTTCATAAATGTTATATCAGACCATTTTTTAAATGCTGTATTTCACGCATTTGCACACAATAACAATGTGGCTACATACAAGAATTCTCTCTCTCTCTCTCTCTCTCTCTCTCGTTTGCCCCATTTGTAAAGCAACATAATTAAACATGACAGTAAAATCTGATTGACGCCATCCTACATTATGCTATGTACCATCAATATGCCTGTGGGTGGCACAGATACCGTCTCAGAGCGTTCTACAGCTTGGAAAGCTGCCTTTGTGCATCTCCATAGCTGGTTTTGCACGATTGAAACACTGCGCTTTAGTTTCTTATTGTTTTGAGATGTGGTAGGTTTATGTACTGTAATCCTAGGATTAGCACATTAGCTGCCTGTCTGCCAGCACGAAAAAAACTCGGTGCTCGGTGACATTAGTACAGTGGGATCACTGCAATATAGCTGTTCATTAATAATCCAGCTTGATGTTCTGTCACATATTTTTGTTAAATGTATTGTTCTTTATTTAATTCAAAACACGAATCTGCATCAAACATCAGAATTTATTGTTCAAACTCTTTTGTCCATATAACATGCTCTGCAGATTGACAGCACAATGAATAACACACAAATTTAATTGCATATAACTACTGTATAAAATCGCCCCATGTCTTGCTCTCAAAGTACACCTGTGTCTTCTTACGCCAGAATGTTACCGCTGTATTTTGCACATTTCACTCTATGTTATCATAACCTATACCTGGTTATAAGTGGTTTATAAGCCTGTCTCTGTGCTTTGTTTAGAGTTCTCCTCTGGAGCTCTGTTTGCGGAACGCATTCACATTATGTAAACCTTGTGAAGTTTTATTGGCCAGTATTTTTAGGTACAGGAAGCTCATGAGAATTAAGAACAGAAGCATTTTCAGTATATAAAAAGGGAGCCTAGAAATGCCCCTAATCATTATAAAAGGAACCAAGATCCAAGAAAAATATGCAAAACAGAAAGAATTTGCTGCGTCTTGGATGTCACACTGTTGCGTGGCTCAACACTGAATCCATATTTAGGACATAAATGCTTCAGTTGTGGCAGTTAATTAATCAGGAAGAATGCCACTTTGTATAAACTCAATGCTCTTATGTATTTTCCCCAAAATTCCCCTTGGGAATCCTGCACCTTTCCTTCCTCATTCCCATTCTTTGCAAGTTTCCTAGACTTACAACTCTGGCCCAAATGGATTTTTGCATTGTGGCAAGTCGGATTTTCAAGTGATCCATCTCAGTGGGGAGACACGCATGAAGGCATCCTACGTGTGTCACAGCTGTCGCCAGGGCGACGGACAGGCACAGCGGTAACAAAAAAAAAAAAAAAAACAAAAAAACCACGCTTTGAAGATGGAGAAGCCCATAGATAAAAAAAAAAAAAAAAAAAAGCGAAAAGCAAATTAACGGTGAACCTTTTGAAAGTCGCCTGCATTCATCGCTGTGCTGCCCATCGCATTATCAAAGCACGCTCATGCATTTCCTCATAAAAAAAAAAAGTCGAAAAATGGCTCTTGACTTACGTCTCTGTGTTTATGCAGATGTGATTTACTGCATATTGACATTTGAAGGCTGTAACCACTCATATGGACAGTCAGGTACCTAATCCAAAGTGTAATAATGCTCTTTGATGTTTACTGCAGTTAGGCGTTCTTCATCATATCCATCAACGTCCTTCGAATGGACAAAAACATTTCATCAATTGCTTAAATCCAGTTTCCATTTCTTTTGGAGTTCATTATTCACGTACGTTTATGAATTTGATTTTAGTTTAATTGACTGCCATTTGAAGTGTTTGTAAAATCTTTCCAGTTTAATAAATAGATGGCACATAACAAATATGGTTCGGCTAATGTTGTTAGGTCCTTTCATCAGACACAGTATTATAGGCATTCAAAAAATAAGAAGCATTTCGATAAGCTAATGCCTTTCTACTGCATATTTTATTATAGGAGAGAACTAAGTTAAATTGTCTTTATACAATACAATGCAACACTTGAAATTTACCATCAATTTTATGAATAGCCATCAAAATCTGGGTATTTCATGTTAGTGTGACAAACCATGTGTCAAAAACTTGGTGATATTTTGAGTGTAAATGAAACCCCTCAACAGGTATATAGCTAGAGTAACTGGACTCTAAACCGCAGTGAAAACCGTCCATTTCTGGGATATTTGTGCTTTTCTGAAGAAATGACTTTCATGGAAATGCACAGTTCTTTGCGACAATTTAAGGAAATGAAGTTCGCAATTCAGCTCTAAGAGCAGAGGCAGTATGGGGGGTGCACTCGAAACGGCTCATACTGCATATGGTGCCACGTCACACAGATAAGCCCCAAGGACAGATTTAACACAAGCACTCTGGGGCTTCATTAACGAGAGGAGTACCCGCCATACTCAGAGATGTTGCTTTGAACTGCACTACAAGACGTCTCCTACAGAAACTGAAATATAAGAGTCAGTGTTGAGTATTACTGTATGATGCTTGAATGGGAAAATCACGATTCCTGCCCTCAGGAAAGCAGTCCTGCAGCTTTCACCATACTGTAAGTGTCGGATATCATTTTCAAGCTGTGCTTCGTGTTAAACTGTTTACGCGTCTTTTGCCAGCCTGACTCTGCCAAATCCTCTATGTGTGTGTGTGTGTGTTTCTTTAAGAGAACAGAAGGCCTGGATCTTTCAAAGCGACAAACTATGCACACCATTTGGTTCTAAAGAGAGATTAAAAAAAATAGTTGTCTTCTAAGCACCAGGATTGACTTTGAATCCTCTCAAGTGGAAATATTAGTGGAGGACCTTTCCACAAATGCCATAGCTGGTCATAAAATTAACAATTCTTAACAGGTCAGGGGAGAAAGGAGCTGGAACAGAATCCCATCATTGTGTTATTTTAATTCTCCATTTATTTAAAATAAGTACCCTTCACCCAAGATAGCATCAAGGTAAAATCTGAGCACTTCTTTTTATAGTAATACTATATGTGTGCAGGTGCTATTAAATGTTGAACTATATAGGTCATTTCAGATGTTAAAACCTAAATGAAAATTGTGTAATAGAAATAGTATTATAAATGTAATGTAGTAATAGTTGTTCTTTGAACTGTTTGGTGACAAATTGATTTTTATGTTGCGCAAACACTTCATGTTGTTCCACGGAAACTGATCCCTTAGCTTTTAGAAATATCACACTGTTTAGGGTGTTGTTTTTCGACTGACACATTTGGGATTCTTCCACGTCAGACACTTGCAGCCACACTGCTAGCATGCTGAATCACTGAGGCCATGTTCTTCCGGTCAGGAGTCAGGGCGGAGTGCCTGTCATCGATATCTGGGAGGGGTGTGACCCTCTGTGCAGTGCAGAAATGCTGAATAAATCATAAAAACAAAGTCTGACTTTAAAAACACCAGAGATCAATCTCAGGAGAAAAATATAACGCTGAGGAACTCTACCCAATTTTGTTGACAAATATACCCCATATTCTCAGCTTCAAGATATTACACTACTATTGAATTACTCCCTGAAATGGACCGCAGTCCTCACCAGGGGGTCCCCTGCATTCTCTCTTCTGCTACCAGCAACAGGCGCCAGATCCTCTGCTGGAGAAGCGATTGTAGGATGGATGGATGGAAGGATCAAGATTCTTCTTTTCTTTTCTTTTTTAAATTTCTCCCTCTTTGTAGGTCTACTTCTGTAGAAATATTCAAGGAATCAAAACAATGAAGCCCGTTTTGGGACCTGTGGTCCCAAACGTTTAAACCTGCTTCCTGTGTATGAATTCTGGACTGGGTTGTAATGGAGTGACAAAGCAATAAATAAATAAATGATGATGATGATGATGATG